AAAAAGTATGAAGAAGTCTGCTTGTGCTGGGGCACACCTTTCCCTTTTTTAATCTGAACCAAATTAGGAAGCTTCATCTAACTCACAGGTGCTGAACCAGCACTTTTTCCAAAGACACTCTTACTCTCTGCTTGATTCTCCACACAAATACCCAGCCATGTCCCAAGACCAAGGAAAATGGGGGAAAAAAACCCAAACAACAATAAAAACAACAACAAAAAAAGACACAGAAAGCAGTCAGATTTAAACACAGACAAGCTTCTTGATTCAGCCTGTCCTGTAACCACACAAGCCATCCTCAATGCAAAGGAAGATGGGTCAGTGAGCAACGAGGCTACTGCTTCTCCAACTCATAACACATCAAAAACTACATATTCAGTACGAGGTCATACCAACTCCAAGCAGGGCTGAATCTTTCAAAAGAGAAATAAACTTTATAGCTCACTGTGTTTACTTTTCAACCCTAACAAAAGCTGCGTGTCTCAAGATGAGGAACCTGTTCACAGGAATTTCTAGGGCTACGCATTTCATTTTCACAAAATATTTTGAAAAAGAAATTACAAGATTGTACACATCCTTCCCACTTAAGGGGCAGAAATTTACAGAGCCTGAAGAAGGTTGTTACTGTCCAACAAGACAACAGCACTCACTTCTAATCCGTGGAAGGACTCAAAATAATAATGTAATGGAACATACTGAAAATAATAGCATAAGTCTCTTCGAAAGAGAACGTGAGGTTTTTTGACACAACTGACTTTTTCTGAGCGAAAACAATGTAGTGCTTGACCTAGATAACAGAATCTTCTAAACAAATCTACTGAAGCTGCTCACTAACAAAATTCTGACATTTCCAATTCACCCCAGGTCCTTAGAAACACAATGTTCCTGCAACATCGCATCAAACCTGAAACAGGTCCTGTAAGATGCAACTGAACTGGGTACACTTTGATGGTAGTTGGACTGGACGCTGTCTTAAATTCATTCTAAAAAAACGGATTTATTCCCTTAATCCCACTGAACTTCCTTTTCACCCCCACACGCCAGAAAAAATCGACCGTCAGTCTTTCCAAACAGGAGTTGGCTGTTAAGTTAAAACTTCGGCAAGACTTCCAAATAAAAAACCCTTCATCCTTTTCCCACTTCCTTCTCCTCCTCCGAAAGACATCTTCCCCACCAACCAAAAATCTGAGTTATAAAAGAAAGCAAAAAAAAAAAAAAAAACCAAACAAAACAGAAAAGAAAAGCAAGCCCAGGCAGGGCGGCGGCTGCAGCGGCGGGCGATGAATGAAGCGGCCGAGGGAGAATTTCAGGGAGCCGGGAGCGCGGGGCATGGGGTGGGGAAGGGGAATCGGGGCTCTCCCGGCCCGGGTGGGACGAGGTGCGGCCCACAGGCAGGGAAGAGCCGGGCCCGGGGCCCGCCGGGCCCGGGGCGCTGTCGCCGGGGCCCCGCTGCCTGCTGGTCCCAGGACACGGCCCGGGGCCTCCCCCCGCCGCTGCCCGCGGCCTCCCGCCCCGCCACTCACCAGGATGCGCTTGAAGAGCGCGTTCTCCTTGGGCGGCAGGCTCACGGACGGCATCCTCCCCGCCGCTCCCGCTCCCGCCGAGGCGCTCCTGCGAGGCGGGTGGGCGGGCGGGCCGCGCGTCCCGTCGCCGCTCGCCGCTCGGCCGCCGCTGCCGGGAGCCTCCCCGCCGGAGCGCGGCGGCCGCTACTACCACCCCCGCCGCCGCCTCACCGCCGCTGGCCTGGCCACCCCCCCGGGCGTGGGCGCGGCCGCGGGCGCGGCCCCTCACGGCCCTCGCCGTCCCGTCCCGGCCGTGCAGCCCCGGCCGCGCTCACGTGGTGCCCGCTCGGGCCGCGGAGCCGCCGCCAAAATGGCACCGCCGCGCTTCCCCAGCCGGGTCGCGGCGCCTCCGCGCATGCGCCGCGCCCTCGCGGCCGCCCCGCCCCGCCCTGCCCCGGCAGGTGTGCGTGTGTGGGGGCGAAGGGCCCCCCTCTGCCCCGTTCGGCTCGGGGAGGCACCGCCCGGCGCCGGGGGAAGGGGGACTGCCGGGACCCGTTGGGGCTCGCCCGGCCGAGCTCATGGCCCGAGGCGCCCCGGGGCACGGGAGGGGCGGGGGCGGTGCCGTCGCACCCCCGCCCCCCGCGGGCGGAGCCGGGCGCGGCCGACAAGATGGCGGCGGCGCTGAGGGCGCGCTCGGTGCGGGGCTTGGTGGCGGCGGCGGTGCCGGGCCTCGGTGAGCGGCAGCAGCACGGCGGGGCCCGGGCGGGGTAGGGGGGAGGGATCTGTGCCCCGGGGGTTGGGCCGTCGCCTCGGAGTCTCTGCTGCCTACGTGGGGAGCGGCGGCGGCGCCGGGACGTGGAGTTCGCCCCAGCTCCGCGGCCGGGGTTAGAGCAAATCCCTGTGGTTTGCAGATTCGCAGCCCTTGGTGGTTTCGATCGCGGCTAGTTTCTGCGTTACGACAGCTGATTAGGAAATTGGTGCCTCCTTCGTGCCCCGGGGGAAGCTCGCCGTGCCCCGCGCCGCGGTGGCGGTGCTGGCGGTCCTTGGGGAGGCGGTGCCCGGAGCGCCCTTGGTGAGCTGGGGAGGGAGGTGAGGAAGGGATGGAGGTGGGGGCTTTCGCCAGGGACAGTAAGAGGCAGCTCTAATGGAGCAAAAGAGGCGGGGGGGAAATGGGTTTTGTGGCCGAGAAAAGGGCAAAAGGTACTGCTTCGAGTGGTTGGCAGCGCCCCGTCCTCTTTCCTGCGGATCAGGTGCCCGTGCAGTGGGTCCCCCACAAGTGTTACGGGGACCACTTCATAATGGCATTTTTGTGTTTGTATGATGTTTTTTTTTTTTTCTGATTCCACGAGTGTCAGTAATGACTTGGTCTGCGTTAACGCATTTGTAATCTTCTGCCTTTTTTAGCTTTCACTCGTTCCGCGTTTGTTGCGAGAAAACCTAACTACGCCCAACCAAACTGGCTGGGAGTCGGCTTGGCGTTTGGCACCTCTGCTGCCTTGTGGGCTTTTGTAAGTGTTTTCATTCGGTGTTGCTGAACTTAACTATGACAGAAAATTCGCGGTAGTGATATAAATGCAATGACTACAACCTACTGAGTTGTTCGGGGTAATGAGTGGTCATAGCGGGTGTCAAGATTGAAGCATGATTATGTTGATTCCTTATGTTTCCCCAGCTTCATGCTGTGGTTTTCTTTATAAAAATCAACAACTTATTAAGCTTTTCTCTATTTCAAACTCAAAACAGCCACAACAGAAGAATTAGTTCTTCAAGCCTGCCAGTTTAATGTTTTGACATTATTTTCCCCATTGGTCTTAAAAAAAAAAATCAAAAAACCCCACAACAACAACAACAACAACAAACAAAACAAAACAAACAAACAAACAAAAAAAAACAAACAAATGAAAACCCTAGGGATGTGCCCAAACAGTCTTGTGTTTATCAGACTACTAAAGCGCTGTCTTCTAATTTTTCTGCTGGTTAAGGTGGTTGTTAGCTGATTTCAATAGATTAAGACCCCTTTTTCTTCTGAGCAAAATGCAGATGTAAGATACTATTTTAGAGAATTCAACTGGCTTGATGTTGTTAAATTCACAGGATGTAGAAGCTCTCAGGAAGAAAATGTTGCAGGATGAGCAACACTCCCATAATGAAAGTGTTGTCGGGGTGGGGTGGATTCCCTTTGGGGCTTTCGCCTTTTTTGGGGGTGGTGAATTGATTGATAGTATGAGCCCCCTGCCTCCAGTTGGTCAGTTTATCCAGTGAGGCCTTTTTTTTCCACAGGTTTTTCAATTTGATAATTTACAGATGATGTGTTGTCCCAGTTACATATTGGTTTGCATTCCGACAATAGGAATTTTGTATTCTGTAGAAATCTCTTTGTTCTCTGCATCCAGCTGCAAAATTGTATAGCTGTTTATCCTATACTGCTATTTTATAGCTTATCAAGCAGCATAATGAAGATGTAATGGAATATGAAAGAAGACAAAAAGAGGGTCACCATAAGTGTACCGGATGCTCATAGTAAGTGTGCACATACAGATGCTTTTGACTTAACACAAATTCTGAAAATCTCTGACATCTGGTCAAGATATCAGACTGACATTCTTCCCTTATTATTTTTCTTAATACTTTACATCTTGGCTTTTGCTATTCTTCTAACTCATTCCAGCTTTAAAATTATATGGTGACTGATTTCTATTTTCATATATTCACTGTTGGCTTTCTGTCTTGGACATGTGAATTTTTGGACAGTAACACGTCTCTTACCGTGTCTATAACGAAATAAGTTTGTAAATAGAATACCTTACAAGTGGCTCAGTGGCAAGGAGATCAGAGTAGCTGAAAATAGCTTTATCTTTGCATTTTTTTTTATTATAACATGTCTGCAGTGGGAAATGTCCCTCTCGGTTCCACCTTTATATTAAGCATAAAAATAATGTAAAGTCAATGCCCTTAGATGTGCATTGCAGGGCAGATTGTATGTGACTGTTGTCCTTTTCAATGTAAAAAAAACGTGTGTCTGCCAGCTGAGAAGTCTTTTGGGGATTATGGCCTCAGAGCAATTAATATGCCACATGAAAAAATTCCTTATACTAGATAGAGGAAAAACTTGTAGTGCCGTGGCTATTTTTCCCTGTAAACATACCTCTCCAGATAAAATACAGGATGTTATGTTTCTAAGCATATTCATCACATCTATTTTTCTTGTTGCTAAGATTCTTTTCCCCTCTTTCTTAGGTTGATGATATGCTCAGAGGTAACAGGATCACCAGTTGTGAGCACAGCGGGAGTACAGAGTGATGTAATTACTTGTATGTTCATACATTTCATGTGCATAAATATGAAATAAATGATAAAGCCTAGAAGAAACTTTCAAGGACCTTTGTTGCCATTAATATTTCATTCTGCTGGTCTTTAAGTTGCTTTATGTTGCATTTCCATTTCATAGATAATCGATCCTATTTCTTATTTCTCTGTGTTATTCTGGAAGATATATTAGGGAAGCCTAATACAACTAGTCTGTACAAATGCCAAAGCGTGCATTTTGGGAATTGCTTATGCCAGAGAGGTGCCTGCAGTGCTTTACACAATGAGACTGCACAGGCGTTGTCAGTCTCCGGTGTGAGCACCGCCTCCTCTTCGTGCATCAAGGTCAGTCAAGGACAAAGGCTGCAAAAATGGGACCACAGCAGTCGGCACAATAGGGCATTAAATAATCACAGAAGGAACAACAAAGCGTAGATGAGAAACCGTGGGCAGCTGCCCGAAAACACAGGGAGGAGAGGAGCAGCTGCACAGCTCTGCCCCTGAGACGCCCATGACTGTGACAGTCACCATGATCCCACAGCAGCACTTCCCTTCCAGTGTTCTGCTACCAACACCGAATGCCTGTAACCGGTGTTTAACCTGAGTGCCCTTTGCCGTCAGTTTAGGTGACTTCTCCATTTTATTTTTTTCCCCCCTTCCATTATCTGTTGGCAAAGGAATGCTCTCGGTGAACACCCTATTTTAGTAAAACAGTAGTTTGTTCCTCACCGTCTTCCCCCTCCTTGCTAAATGCAATCCCTTATATTCTGGGTCCGTTTCAGCACCGCGTACAGCGGCGTTCGGCACAGGGCCGTCTGCCCGCGCGTTCCGGGAAGGCGCGTTCCGGGAAGGCGCTTCCCGCTGCTGCCGGAGCGGCTCCTGCCCCTTCCCTCCGTGTCCCGGTCACCCCCGGCGTCCTCCGGGAGCGGCGTCCAGGTGCTCGTCGCGGGGCGGGGCCCGACCCGTTCCGCCCCCGCGGCTCGGCGGGGCGGGGATCGCTGTCTGTCTCCGCAGCCCGGCTCCGACGGGCACAGCCGAGTGCCCGCTCCGCTCCGCTCCGCTCCCTGCCGCCGCCACCATGTCCCTGTGCAGGGCAGCCTCGCAGGCGCTGGCATTCCGCCTGAGCAGGACTCCCGCCGCCGCCGGCCGCCTCAAGCAGCGCGGTACGAGCGCGGGTGGAGGTCACCAGGACGGCCGGGAGGGAGCGGGGCGGGACGGGACGGGACGGGCAGGGGCGGAGGGGACGCGCGAAGGTCGCAGGCGGGCGGCGGGGACGCGGGGCCGGCAGCGGGGGCGGGGGCGGTGGGAGCCGGGCACGGCCGGTCGGGCACCCCCCGGCTCTAGGGAGCGGCTGTCCCGGAGCTCCGGGCGATCCTCTGGGCGGCCGAGCCCGCCGGGACCCCCCTTCCCCTCGGTTCGTGGCAAAGAGAGGGGTCGCTGCTGCATTCCCTCGCGCCCCCTCCCCAGCGCAGGGAATGGCGGGGTACAAATCGCTCGGGAGAGCACTGCCGGCCCTGCGAGAGAGCGGGGATCCACCCGGCGTGCCGCAGCCATGGCTTTTGGCGCATCAGGGGTTGTGTAACCGATGGCAAAAAAAAAAAAAAAAAAAAAAAAAAAAATATCCCTGCCAGCCGTGCTGGGTGATGGCAGCATGGCAGCTCGCTGGTGCACTCTCCTTCTATAGCCGTAAAGCTCGGGTAGGAGGGTTAAAGAGAAACTGCTATGGAATGACAATATAAACGTAAGGAAATCCATTAGGATGCCTGGCTATTGAAGAGGAGTCCGAGAAGTGTGTCATGAGACAGATGATGCTAAACATAATCTGGCACACGATGTCAACGTTTTGAGATTGCGACTATTTTTGCAGCTGCCAGTTGCAGTGCTCAGAGCCATTTTATCTTTCCTGAGCACTCTTTCGATGAGATGCTTCTCATCTGGGATCAAGTCAGGAAATTCAGCTGAAAGCTCTGTTGACCACGAGAGTTACGTGTGTTTTTCATGTGTCTTTTTTTGAGGTATATAGATGAATCGAAGACTATAGCAAACATCAAAGCTGCAGGAACAGTGGACACAAATGAAACGTGTAACACTGATGTTAGAGTCAATGTGTACCCAATCAGGGATAAAATTGTGTAATCCTACCTATCTGCCCTGCTGGCCATTTCATGAGGTTAAGGTTATGTATCAAAATGTCAGCAGTCTGTTCGGGAATAAAAGCATGTGAATTCAAAGGAAAAGGCTTTTTTTTCAAATTCTCTGTTAGTAAACTGAAGAGAATTTGTTACCTCTGCCGATCATAACAAATAAGGACAGACTAATTCTTTTATATACGGGAACTTTTCTACATTTCTTTTTTTCTTTTTTTTTTTTTTTTATTTTTTTTTTTTTTTTTTTTTTTTTTTTTAACTTTTTTTGTCTCTATAGACTATCCAGTACTTGGCAGCTGATGGCAGACAGTGTAGTTCAGAGAAGAACTCACACTCTTAGGAAGAGCTCAGCCATGAACTTCCTTCAGCTGGGCACCACGCCCCGTGTTGCTCAGCTGTAGGAGATGTCAATAAGCTGTACCTCTCTGTTTTGTTGCGTCTTTTTGAATCATCCTGTCCCAAATAGTCTTCAGACTCCATCATTCTGTTTTGTGATCGTATTTTAGCAGCATTTTACATCGATTTACTTAATGGTTTTTGTAGCACCTCTTCGCCAGATGTCATCTGGGAGTGTTCCTGGCTCTTCTGGAGAGAGTATGATTATCTATCTCCTTGCTGGTGCTGCTGCTTTTGGTGGTTTATTTTATGTAAGTGTTTTGGGGTGGAGCTGTTTGTGCTTTCTGAGCTGGCATGCTATAAGGTGTGTTCTGTGTTAAAGAATATGGTCAAAGTTCAAATGGTCGATAGAATGTAGACACTGTGGCATAGAGCTGAATGCAGCCTGACTTAAAAATCAGGTCTAGAGAACTAGTGAACCTGCATGCCTATTGTTTGCCTGTTTCGCTGTTGCTTCGGTAACTAGTGCTGGGTCTTTCCTAGTGGAAAGCATACTTAAAACTATATGAAATGAATGTGTCCAAAGCTAGAGTGAGGCACCTGCCTCTAACCTCTTGCCTCTTCTTATCAACCACAAACATTAGGAATATCTCAAGGTGGGCGAGACAGATGTGAAATAAGCTGTGTGAAGCTGCAAGGGGAAGATTATGAACCTTGTTAATTTGAGCACTAAAAAGAAAGAATAACAACATTAGTTACTTTGAAAAAGAGTGTTAAAGTTATGTAAATATCTGCTTTTGTTAAGCTTTTCAGTAACCATTCTCTTCCCTGCTTCTAAATATCTCAGATTCTGTGCTTCACATCCCTAAATCCTCCATTTTATAGCTTACATCCACCCCTCTTCCCCAAGATCTGAGATAGTGATTAGCACATCCCAGGGAGGTACCTATTTCCCTGTCCCACAAAAAAAATCCTCTTGAATGGTAAGTAGCTATTTGTTCAAAATACCGAACTTGTTTGATTGCATATCTAGAGGAATAAAAAATTCTCTTGCTGTCACATGTTTACCACCTTAGGAAAATAATAATAATAATAATAATAATAATAATAATAATAATAATAATAATAATCTTATGGTAATTATCTTTTAAAACACTGTTTTCAATTCCTGAAACACAGCAGCACTCCAAAAGGTGCCTGGTATATTGTATTTGCTTTCTAACAATGGAGAAATATGAATGGCAGGTTGTTAATTTTTTTAAAACGTTGCTTAGCATAAATTTCATGTGCCTTTTAAGACGGGCAGTAAGCACTTGCTTAAAAACCCTTCTCTTCCTCTCCCCTCTTTGTGTTTGATAACTTTGTAGGGATGTAGCAATAAGTTTAGGTGTAATTTCCTTTCAGGGCTACAGACAAGTCAGTTCATCCCGCAGCAGGTATATTGAGCATATGAATGTTCTTCATGAGAGAGCTGAGGGGCGGAAAGGCAACCCTTGGTCAAGGAAGGGTGAGTTGAGTTCTTCTCTCTTGTTCACTGGGTACACAAGGATCTGGAACAGATTTCTGGACTGTCTAATCGGGCCTTAACGTTGTCCAAATCCTTGTCTGAACCGTGTGAGTGGGAGTCAAAACAAAGGTGGTTGTGCAGCGTTGTTCTGTTACAAAGCTACTGCTGCACAAATTTGGGGAATGTCGTTAGTATTAAGGCAGTGAATCTGGCCTTTGATCCACCTGTGAGAGTCTCTGTGGATTTACTGGAAGCTTAATGAAACTTGACTAGATGCATAATGCTGTCAAAATAGTTTTGTTCTTTCATTTGTTGGCAGGGGGTGGGGGAGAAGATAATATCTTTTTCTCAATCAACAGGTTGGGTCCAGGCCACATGTGCCATCAGGGAACACAGTTCAATAGGGGGGGGAAAAAAAAAACCCTAATTTTTTTTTTTTTTTTAATATTCTAAATTGGACCAATTTTTTTTGTCCCAAAACTTTGATTTTGTCCTTTTTGATTCAGAGTTAAATGAAAAGTAGGAACTACATAAATGTATGGCAAATCCTTACTTAGCTCTTCGTGCTTGAATAATTAGACCATGTTAGTTCAAATACTTGTAATGGAATGTTTTCTCTGTCTACATCAATTAATGTTCCAGTGGCATTAATGTAAAAGATAGAACTTTGGCAAGCATGGCCTTCCTAGGAAAAGCAATTAGAAAAATTACTTAAGGAACTTTATATATTTTTATTTAGTTGTTATTTAAACAAATAAATAAACTACTAAAGCCAGAGCAGTTCAAGCTCTTCTTTATTTTTTCTGATGCTGACATCTAGGGAATTGATTTAATATATTTGCATGCACACAAAGAATAGATTTGAATAAAGTATGCTGAGTTTAAACTTTGTTTTCAATGTGAGAACATGATTTGAATCGTCTGCCTCTATAATTATTTCTTTTGAAGCTGTTAGCCTTGAACTTCCACAACACATCCTTTGGTTTTAGGACTTTAAAATTACAGATTTCAAGATTTAAAATGCTAAAACACCTTAATTTCATTTTACTTGAGCAGCTGTAAGCAATACAGTTTTT